CAGCTGGGTGCAGAGGAGCTCCTGGCCGTGTCCAACAAACTCTCTGCCTTGCAGATCATTGCCAACCACCACATGCAGTCCATCTCCTTCGCTTCTGGGGGAGACCCGGTGAGTATGCAGGGTCCCCGTCCATGCGTGCCATCCTAGGGATCGGTGCCTCTCCTGGCCTCTCCCCGAAATCTCGGGCACCGCACTCGTGGACTGGCAGCCCCGTCTCACCGCTGGTGTCTCGCCCACAGGACACAGCCGAGTACGTCGCCTACGTTGCCAAAGACCCCGTCAATCAGAGAGGTGAGGGCGCTGCGGAGGGTCCTCAAGGCCAGAGCCCCGTTTCGCGGCTGTTTAGGCGCAGCTCAGCGTGGCGGGGAGGCGCTGGGTCTGCCTCGGGCGGGCTCGAGGGATGGAGAACTGAACGTTGGGGTTCCACACTCCCATCCCACCTTTCCCTCCCCAGCCTGCCATATCCTGGAGTGCCCCGAGGGCTTGGCGCAGGACGTGATCAGCACCATCGGGCAGGCCTTTGAGCTGCGGTTCAAGCAGTACCTGAAGAACCCTCCAAAGTTGGTGACACCCCACGACAGGTAAGGGCAGGGCTGCGTGGGAAGCAGGAAAATGGGGAGTGTCTGAGGTTGGCTTGGTTTTGGGGGGGGGGATGCAGCCCTGGCTGCTGTCAGCTGCTCATCTCTGCGGTGCCCTCCCAGGATGGCGGGGTTTGATGGCTCTGCCTGGGATGAGGAAGAGGAGGAACCAGCCCCAGATCACCAGTACTACAACGACTTCCCTGGCAAGGAGCCTCCCATCGGGGGGGTTGTGGACATGCGGCTGCGGGACGGGGCTGCTCAGACCCCCAGTCACTTGGGGGCCACGCTGGTAAGGCTCTGGGCACGTCCTCATGGGGAGACTCTGCGTTACAAGGGAGAGGCCGGGACCCTGACCGGGCTGTGGGCTCCAATCTCGGGGTTATTCCACCACGAGAGCTGTGGCCTGGGTCTCCCCGGCACCTCAAGCAGCCCAGGGTGCGGCGAGGGGGGACAGGGTGGGGAGCGCAGCGGGGCTCACCCCCCCGCTTCTGTCCCTGCAGCCCATCGGCCAGTCATCCGGCGGGGAGTACGACCCTCGGAAGCCGCACGCTCCTGCCCAAGGTAACGTGGCGGCTGCACTCGGTCCCCGTTTGCTTTCCTCGACCCGGGGGCTCGACTGGTGTTGGGAGGGACACGCACTGGTGGCAGGCCGGAGCCCGGCTGACCACGGCGCTCTCGGTCGCAGGGAGAGAGAAGCACCCGGCTCCGGCGGGC